CCCCCCCCCACTGCGAGGAAATGTGACATTGTGAACGAGCAGGCTGAGAAGAAAAGCGGGGCAGAGACAGCACTCAGCGCTCAGCACGGTGCTCTCCCGGCTGGAAGCAGCGGGAGCCGGAGGGGGTGGGAGTCGGGGTTGGGGAACCAGTCACATTTAAAGGTGCGCCCTGGCTTTTCTACAGACAGTTTGACCACCACCACCACCCCCCCAGACCTTCCCAGGCTCCTTTCAGAGTCACTTCTCGAATGAAATGATCTTGATGGATCAAAGCGCGTTTCCAGGACCAGAATGTCTTCCCTATTGAGACCCAAAGAGAATAGACACTTTGAGGCTTTGACCATTCCTTCACTTAACCTCAGTGAGGAACTTTTGAGTTCCTACCCCCGTTGAGGAACCCGCCCTGAAAGATCTCACAAGCCAGTGCTCTATTGATAATTACAGTACAGTAATGTTGTAAGAGAGAGAAAACACCCCCTACACAGAACACTGGGAATCTTGAGAGTGGGAACCATGGGAAGTGCAAGGGGTTTGGAGAATACGAGTTCTCAGAGGAGTGGTTACCTGGACAAGGTGAGAGACTGACTGACTGGCCGACAGCATGAATAGAAAGATGGCCTCACCCACCAAGGGCAAGCCATCAACACAATGGCACACCCCAAGGCCATGGGTGTAGGAGGCTCAAAACTGAAGAGTTAGGGAGAGAAGGGATGTGTTCCTGGAAAGAAGAGCAAGTGTTTTGCACTGGTTACTGCTAATAGCATTGTAAGATATATATCCAAAGGGGCGGGGATGATTCACAGGAAAAGGCCAGAGGATTACAAGCTGGAGGCCATCCTGGGTTACATCCTGCATGCACCTGCCAAATGACACCACACACACACACACACACACACACACACACACACGCCAGGTGTAGGCGGCTCAAGCCTGTAATATAAACATATCCAAAGTAGCCAGGTGCAGGTGGCTCATGCCTGTAATCCTTGCTACTATCTGATCTGTGTTAAAAGCCAAATTCACCCTGGGAAAGGAAGCCTGTGGGACTCTTATCTCTAATTAACCAGCACAAAGCCAGAAGTGGAGCTATGGCTCAGTGGTAGAGCCTGAGTCCTAGCAGAAAAGCAAATGGACAGCACCCAGGCCCTGAGTTCAAGCCCGGCTACCAACACAATAAACACACACACACAAATAAGCAAATCACCCAAAACCAATCACCCAAATGTCAGGTCTGATGAGTGAAAAAAATACCTCAAACTTTGAAATGTTTAAAATATTTTCATGTGTCAAGAGATAGTGTGTATGGGCTGTGAAGGTGGCTCAGTGGTTGAGCACTTGCCTTGCATGCATGAGGCCCTGGGTTCCATTTCTCAGCACCACATAAACAAAAAGAAAAAAGCCAGAAGTGGCGCTGTGGCTCAAGTGGTAGTGCGTTAGCCTTGAGCTGAAGAGCTGAGGGACAGTGCCCTTTTTGTCGTGGGGCCTGAACTCTGGGCCTGGGCGCTGTCCCTCAGCTCTTCAGCTCAAGGCTAGCGCTCTACCACTTGAACCACAGTGCCACTTCCGGCTTTTTTTCTTTTTTGCTTATGTGGTGCTAAGGAATCGAACCCAGGGCCTCATGCATGCAAGGCAAGCGCTCTACCACTGAGCCACCTTCCCAGCCCCTGTTTTTACTTTATAACAATAGATTTGAGTGTAGGAAACTCCAAACTATTTGTAAAGCTTCCTCCCTCCCATGTTACTACGCAAGGTCGACTGTGCCCCCATTCTAAAGGAAAAAGGTGCTGTCTTTAGTAAGCACGCACAGGAAGGTGCCAAGGGATTCAAAGAAAAATCGGGAATGGGAAGGTTGGGGCCAATGGGGAGAGAGAGACCTCCTGTGCCATGCTGAGCTCTAGCTCACAGCTCTGCAGACAGCGGGGTGTCTGTTAAGTGGACAAGTGTCCGGGTGTGATTTGTGTTGTATGAAGATGACTGCTGGCAGTGAGGAAGGTCAGACTACTTAATGGGCAGAGAGGCCCGAGGCAGCCACTCACAGAGGGAGGGTCAGGATGGGGTTTGCTCAAGTCTAGATGGGGCGCCTGTCATCCATATGTGGGAAGTATAATGTGGCAGAGATTGCAGCCCTACACAGAGACAACGGCAAGCCGAGTCTAGATCCAAAGGCGTGTGGAGTCACCAGACTACAGATGAATGACCCAAGGGTGAACACCTAGCTGCATTGCCTCCCGATGGATGGGGTAAAAGTGGCTGCACCTGCCTGTGCCTCAGTTTCCTTCTCTGTATGATTAATTTCTGACTCCCAGGATTGTGACAAGCACTTACTGAGATCATCTCTTGAAAATGCTTACAGCCAGGCTGTGTGGTTCAGGCTGGAGGCTTCCTCGGGGTAATGGCTTCTGCATACATGAGGCTAGTATGGGCCACATTTAACAAGTGCTGACAAGCTATCTCATACATCAAGTGAAGACTTGTTATCATGATTATGACCCCAGCGTCGATCATGATTAATAAAACATATTTCAAAATAACAAATTAATCATCTTTGAGTTCATCATGGTGTCCACTAAACCAAGAATTAAATGTGTTGACTATTAATGCCTGAGCATTAGTAATGCACCCTTTTATTTTTAGTCGACTGAACGTTCCCTTATAATTTCTTGTTATTATAAAGGTGATGTACAGAGGGGTTACAGTTACATAAGTAAATTTCTTTTTGTAGAATATCCCCCCTTTCCCTCTCTCTTTCTAAGTGTTTCCCTCCCATCCCCATCCATGGGTTGTTTAGTTCATTTCCAGTAGAGTGAATTGTGAGTCCTATGGTGGCATTTGTTCGCCCTTTATCCACCCCATTTCTGTTCCTCCTCTTACCTTCCCAAAGAGGTCAACATTGTTCATGCCTTCTTACAAGAGCCCAGCAAGGTGAACACCACTGTCCTCAGTTTACAGATAAGAACCAGGAGCTCGAAAGGCCAGAATGCTAGTTCATACTTATGTATTCAATGTTTCCCCTGTCTTCCATTCTGCCGCATGTGGACCTCTGATTCTTTTAGTCCGATGTAGCCTATTCATGTACAGAAAATGAGTGTGGCTGGTCAAGGTCTTCTTTTTTGTGCCCGTCCTGGGGTTTGAACTCAGGACCTGGGTACTCTCCTTTAGCTTTTTGGCTCAAGGCTGGTGCTCTGCCACTTGAGCCACACCTTCAGCTCCAGCTTTTGTGGTGGTTAATGGGACATAAGAGTCTCACAGAGATTCCTGCTCAAGCTGGGTTCAAACTGTGAGCCAACCTCAGATAGCAGCAGCCTCCAGAGGAGCTCAGATTACAGGTCACACACTGGTCAGTGTTTTTAAATTTCAAGACATGATCTTTTATCTGATCCAACTATTCAGTATAATGATGAATCAATTATTCTTTTCACACTTAGCTTTTTCAGATTCTCCTTATCTTCCACCTGTTAAAGAAACCACCTTACTTCTGTATGATATGATGGATGTGAGTTCAAATTCATAAATCCAAGAAGACCTAAATTTTGGAGACTGGCCACAAGAATGTTGGTTTCCATACAAATTCTCTGTGCTTTGGCGCCACCTTGTGGCAGGTACTTTTGCACTTCTAAAACAAAGATGATGGCACTCTGAGAGAGGTTTGCAAGATGGTGGATTCCAGTTCTTTCAAGACCACTCAGCCTTCCATAAGTAGAAGTTACCTTACTATCTGACTATAT